GCATACACTCGTCCTGGGTCCCTCTGTGCTACAGGGGTAAAGCCAGGCAACTTGAGGCTCCACTGATGACCTGTGCGGTGCAGACTGCCCACTGAACTTGCGCAGCACGGGTTGGGTGGGCCTGCAATGGCTTTGAAGCTGCCCTGGAGGTGGACTGTGGATGGAGGTGGTGACCCCTCGAGGTCTCTGTCGGGCCAGAGAGAGGAGGCTTTCCATGATGACTTTCTTTTTTTCTGAGCCAGGGTCTCACTCTGCCGCCCAGGCTAGGCTGCGGTGGCACAAACAAGGCTCACTGTAGCCTCAACCTTCCGGGCTCAGGTGATCCTTCTGGCCTAGACTCCTGAGTAGCTGAAACTACAGGCATGCACCACCACACCCAGCCAATGTATTTATTTATTTTTCTAGAGACAGTGTCTTGCTATGTTGCCCAGGCTGGTCTCAAACTCCTGGGCTCAAGCAACCCTCTTTACTTGGCATCCCAAAGTGCTGGGATTACAGGTGTAAGCCACCATGCCTGGGCCTTGAAGACTTTGTCTGTACCTGCTGGATGTTCTGGGTTGCAGGCCTCTCTGGCACATGGTCCAGAAATACACAAGAGAGAAAAAGAACACCCACTGCATAACTGCTTCCTCAGTCCTGAGGTCCCTAGCCAGTCTGCCTCCTTATTTCCAATTTACAAGGTCCCTTGTCTGTTGAATAAGGCGCAGGGTATCCTATTACACTTTTATGGGAGGAGCAGAGAAAGCTGAATCCCTCCATCCTGATTAAAGCATTCAATACTTCCCATCCTACCCACAGCCACAGGCTCCCAAGGCTTCCTCCCAATCTGTTCCACAGGAGCCAAAGGAGTCCTTGAAAAATGCAGACCTGATCTTGCCAATTTGCCCGCTCTAGAATCCTTGGTTCCCCGTTGTTTTTTGGTTTTTGTTTTTTTTTTTTTTGAGTTGGAGTCTCACTCTGTCACCCAGACTGCAGTGCAGTGGCACGCTCCTGGCCACCGTAGCCTCGACCTGCTGGGCTCTGGCGATCCTTCCGCTTCAGCCTTCCAAGCAGCTGAAACCACAGGTGCGCACTACCATGCCCAGCGAATTTTTTGATTTATTGTAGAGATGAGGTCTCGCCAAGTTGCCCAGGCGGGTCTCAAACCCACGGGCTCAGGCGATCCACTCACCTCAGCCTCCCAAAGCGTGGGATTACAGGCTGAGCCACGGAGCCCGGCTCCCCATTGTTTTAAGACAAAGGCTGCACCTGCTCTCCCATGGACAGCATCAGCCTCTCCCTGCATTTGCTTCCCAGGTTTCCTTAACAGATACCACAGAATGGGCAGCACCAACAACAGAAACGGACTTCTCAAGATCAGGGTGTTGGAAAAATTGGCTCCTCCTGGAGCCATCCTCCATGGCTTATACATGGTGTCTTGATGTGCACACCACATTCTCCCTGAACGCGTGTCTAGCTCCAAAATTTCCCCTTTAAGAGGAAAGCAGTCATATTGGATTAGGGCCCACCTTAACCTGACTACATCTGCAAAGACTTTCTCCAAATAAGGCCATATTCTGAGGTAACCAGGTGAGTGCTGCGACAAGACCTTTGGGAGACACGATTCAGCCACGATAACCCCCACCACCAGGCCCCAGCCCGTGCCATTCCCTCCCTCTGCAGCTCTTCTGCCAGGGCCACACGTTACTTACTCGCCTATTACACAGTCTTCACACGTCACCTCTGTCGTCAGGGAAGGCTTACAGGTTTAAGTCAAGTCGTCTTGACACTTGCTATTTTCAGCCCACTGCCGTTAAGCATCTACCACTGTGATCCACCCCGAGGGCTGCTCTCCTTCTGCAAGACCCTAAGACCCCTGAGTGTGGGGATGGTGGCGAGTCTACACATCACTGCCGCCCTGTCCCGGGGCTGCAGACAGAGCCGGCCAAACCAACGTCTGCTGGAGCAAAGAACGAACGCGGGTTCCGGATGCAACGGAAGACGCTTCATAAACGCAACGCAGCACCTAGCGGCAGCGCCGTTTCACAAAGCAAACGTCAACAAGAGGCCGCGTCACGCTCAGTCGGTGCCGTGTGCAGAGGGAACGTGCCCAGCTGACCAGGCTGTTCCTCTGTGCGCGACGGACGCGGCTTTCCCCGGGCTATCTCGACGTTCCCGGCCCTGT